GGGTCGTCGAGGCGCAAAGGCGTCGCGTACCACGAGAAGGGCCGGTCGTCGCCGGGCTGGCGCAGGCACCCGAGCTCCGGCGGCAGCGGCGGCACGTCCAGCGCCTCGGCGCGGCGCGCCAGCGGCGTCAGCGCGTTCGGGTCCCGCCGGGGCCGCGGCCGCGGCGGCGGCGGCGCGTCGTCGTCCGCGCGCGGCGGCGGCGCGGCGCCGCTCGCCGGGCCCGGCGGCCCCGCGGCCGCGAGGAGGTCGTCGGCGTCCAAGGAGCCGACGTCGCGCGCGTCGGGCCGCCGCGAGTCGAGCACGCCGTAGCGGCGGCGGATCGCCGCGTCGTCGCCCGCCGGGTCGTCGGCGCCGCCGACGCTCACGGACGTCATGAGCGCGACGAACTTCATGTCCGGCACGAGGAGCGCCTGGGCCTGGGCGGCGCTGAGCTTCGGCGGCGGCACGCGGCCGCCGACGCGCGGGCCGCCCCGCGCCGCGTCGCGGTCGCCGGCCGGCGGCGCGGGCCGCTCGTCGACCTTGCCCTCGCGCTGCCACGTCGCGAGTCGGTTCTTCGCGTGGCGGCTCGCGACGGCGAGGTAGCCCCGCGCGAGCTCCAGCGCCGCGGCGTCGTCGGGCGCGAGGGACGCGCCCGGCGGGCCGTCGCCGTGGAGCGCCTCGCGGTAGAGCGCGGGCGACAGCGGCGGCCGGAGGCACGCGACGATGGCCCTTCCCAAAACGTCCTTGGCGCCGCCGTGGTAGGGCGCCGCGGGCCCCAGCGGCGTCGCCAGAAAGGGCGCCAGCACGGGCTCGAAGAGCTGCGCGTCCGCGTCCTGGGCCGTCGGCATCGCGAGCGCCGCGGCCGCGAAGAGCGACGCCGCCTCCAGCCGCACGGCCGGCGACGGGTGCAACAGGAGCGGCGCCGCGGACACCTTGGAGGCCCCGCCGCCCGTCATCTCCACCAACGCCGCGCGGCTCAACAAGCCGAGCTCCACGAGCGACGCGAGCGACGCGAGCGCGCGCGCGATGACGAGCGGCTCCGTGTCGACCAGCGCCTGCCCGATGCACGGCAGGATGAGCCCCTCCGCCGCGTCGGGCCCCAGGAACGCCCCCACGGCCGCGACGTGGGCGCAGAACGCGTCCCGCAGCCCCCAGTCGCTGTCGTTGAGGAACGTGATGAGGTGCGGCATGAGCACGTCGCGGGTCTGCTCGCGGCCTGGGCAGGACAAGAGAGATTCAACGTCGCTTCAACGTGAGTGTTCCGCGCGCGCGCGTCCCGGAAAAAGCATCCACGCTTCGAGACCGTTCCAAGAGATGATCGCTCGTCCAAAAATCAGCCAAAACGAGTGGAAACGGCCGAGATATGAGCCTTTGAAGTTTGGAATTTCGCTCGCTTGTCCTGCCCTGCTCGCGGCCGAAGAAGACGCAGAGCCGCGGCAGGTCGCTGATGAGCACGTGCTTCGCTAGCGACGACGCCTCGCTCAGCAGCACGACGACCCAGCGCCGCACGCGCTGGCGCAGCTCGTCGAGGTCCCGCCCGTAGGCGTCCCCGGAGGGCGCCGCGTCGTCGTCGTCGTCGCCGCCGCCGGTCGCCGCCGCGCGGCGCCGCTCCGCGGCGATATCCAGAAAACGCTTCGCCGACGTCGCGAAGGACCCCGCGCACTCGGCGAAGGCGACGACGACGCACGCCTCCGGGTCGCCCACGAGGTTGGACACGAGCGGGAAGACGTACTTGGGAAAGAGCGCCGCGTCCGACGCGCCGAAGGACCGCACGGACGCGACGAGGGCCGCCAACGCGCGGCAGCAGGCCGCGCGCACGAGCGCCGAGCCGTCGTCGACGAGCGCGGCGACGTGGGGCACGAGCCGCTGGAGCCGCGCCTCGTCGTCCAAAGACGCGCCGAATCGTAGGAGCAAGGCGACGGCCGCGAGCTTCGTCCGGGGGAAGCGCGCGTGGCGCGCCGACGCGCAGACGAGCTGGGCCAGGAGGATGAGGGAGCCGCCGCCGGGCTTCGGCGCCGGCGCCTCCGGCGCGGGCGCGGGCCGCGCGCGCGCGGCGGGCCGCGCCGGAAGTTCGGGCAGCGCCGCGAGCGCGCCGGGGCCCCGCTCCAGCGCTAGGAGCAGCCGCTCCGTGCGCGCGCAGAGCTCCTCCGTCGACACGTCGGCGAGGCCGTCGCAGTCGTCGCCGTCGTCGGGGAACGCGAAGGCCTCCAGCGGCAGGTCGAAGATCGCGTCGCCGTTCGTCTCCAGCGCTTTCGCGAAGCGGCTCTCGAGCGTCGCCGCGTCGAGCGTCGGCTTCGGGAAGGGCGGCCGCGCCGGCGCCTCGTCCGCGCTTCTGTCGTCGTCGTCGCTCGCGGACTCGGCGCCGCGCGCGTCGTCGTCGTCGTCGTCGTCGCTCTCCGAGAAGCCGCCGCCGCCGACGTCGCGCGCGGCCGCGTCGCCGCGCGGCGCCACCGCGAAGGTCCGCAGGAAGCGCGCGCCCGCGGCGTCGTCGACGCCCGCCATCTTCCGGACGGCCCGGCCGTAGCGCCGGCAGACGAGCGCGACGCGGTCGTCCGGCCCGTGCGCCTTCAGCAGCAGCTCCTTGAAGAACGAATACACGAAGCCCGTGAATTCCACCGGTAAAGCGCCCGCGGCGACGAGCGCGTCCAGATGCTCGCGCGCGGCGCCGCGCTTCGCCGGGTCGCGGTCGAGCATGCGCGCGACCGCGCGCCGCAGCGCCGGCGGCTCGAGCGCCGCGACCGCCGGCAGGTCCTCGACGACGACGCCGTCGCCGTGGCTCATCGCGAGCAGCGTCGGCAGGTCCAGGGTCGGCGCGCCGTTGTGGAAGATCTCCGCGATGACGCAGCCCGCCGAGAAGACGTCCATGGCCGGCGTGAGCGCGCCGCGGCGGCTCGAGTCGCGGCCGCGGTCCTCGTGCGTCGACGGAAAGAAGCGCTCCGGCGCGACGTAGCAGCGGCTCGCGGTCTTCCGCGAGCCGCCGGCGAAGTAGTACTCGAACTCCGGGCCGTCGTCCGGGAGGTACGTCGGCTTGTAGCTCGCCAGGTCCGTCAGCGTCGCCCAGGTCCAGCTCGTGACCATGACGTTTTCACTTTTCACGTCGCCGTGGCAGACGCCGCGCGCGTGGCACTGGTCCAGCGCGACCAGGAGCTGGTAGACGACCCAGCGCTTCTCGACGTCGCTGAGGAAGGGCCGCGACCCGAGGCGCTCGAGCAGGTTCGCGAAGAAGTGCTGCCGCACGAGGTACGCGGCCCCCGTCACGCCGCGCGCGCCGGGCCGCCGGCCGAGCGCGGCGTCGTAGGGCAGCACGTTCGGGCACTCGCGCCGCGGGAGCGCCGCGCGGAGGCGCCGCAGGTCCGCCTTCCAGGGCTCGAGGTCCTCGTCGACGTCCTGCTTCACGTAGACCTTGACGCAGAGCCCCGCGCCCTCGTCCTTGCAGTGGTACGTCTTGAGGAAGCGGCCGTTGCCGATGCGCGCGACGACCATGACGGACCGCATGTCCTCGATGAGGTGCCGCTCGGGCTTCTCGATGTAGATCTGCTGCGCCGGGGCCGCGGCCTGCCGCGGCACGGCGTTGCCCATGTTCGGCGCGCGGCGGGTGGCTTCGTCCGATGCTTTCAGGCGGCGAAGAAGTCCGCGGCGCTCGCGGAGAGGCGTGCGCCGAGCCGGTGCGGAGCGGCGCTCGGCGCGGCGCGGCAAAAGGCGAACGCGCACCGACGGCGCGACGCTCCTCAGGTCCTTGTGGAGACGCTCCTCTCGCAAGTCCTTGCGGCAAAACGTTGAGGTTTTCCGACACTCGGCAACCATCAAGTTTGAAACGCGCATCTGAGCAGCCCCTGGACGCCGGCATTCCTGCGCCTCGCGCGGCTCTACCAACACGCCGCGGCGGTGGCGACACCGCGTCGACGTCCAACTCGAAGCCCCGGTGCGCCGCGCGGTGGCGACACCATCATGCCAGCCTTTCACCAGCTGCCGGCGTCGCCGAGCCGCTTCTCGCCGCGGCCCACGCACCACCGGCCGGGCAGCGGGTCGACGAAGCCGTCGCGGACGTCCATGAACGTGCGCGTGAGCCGCAAGGACTCGCGGGAGTACTTAAGGCTGCACCAGCTCGAGCCCTACTTCGAGGACGCGGCGCGCCAGGCCCTCGTGCAGGGCGACCGGCCCGCGGAGCGGCTGCGGGCCTACTTCCGGCGCGTGCTCGCGATGCGCCAGGTCGTCGGCCGCGAGTACGCGTACGTGTCGGCGACGGCGTGGAACCGGCGGAGCTTCATCGCCATCTTCCGCGAGGCCGTGGCGCATCTGCTGGACGACGTCATCACCGTCGGCGACTTCCACCAGCTGCTCCAGCTGTGCTGCCCGGATTTTCCCCGGACGACGCTCGACGCGATCGTCCACGTGCTCCCGCGGGCCCTCATCAACGACGGCCTCGTGAGCTGCGCGACGCTGACGACGGCCTTCGAGGTCCACTGGTTCCACGCCAAGTTCCTGAGCGCCCTGGACCCCTTCTTCCGGAGGGTCGTCGTCATCGACAAGACGACGGGCGCGGCCGTGCCGTCCGCGCCGCCGCCGCGCGACGGCGCCGACGGCGCCCCGGCGCCCGCGCCGTCGTCGTCGACGGCGCTGCCCGTGGCCGACCTCGCCGCGGCCGTGACGTACCTCGGCGCGTCGAAGGCGAGCCACCAAGCGCACCCGGCCGCGATCCACTGGCCCGTCGTGGAGCGCGCGCTCGCGGCCGCGGGCTTCGAGACGGCCGTGTCCTTCCGGCGCCTCTGCCAGTGCCTCATCCAGTCCGAGAGCCTCGCCGCGCGGCTCCACGGCCGCGCGGCGCCGCCGTCGTCGAACGCGGACCGCGTCGCCGCGCTCCTCGAGGGCCGCGCCGTGCGCCGGGACAAGGGCGACGACGGCGGCGACAACGCCGGCGAGGGCGACGCCGCGCCGGCGCCCAAGGCCAAGGACGCGCCCAAGGGCCGCAAGACCGCGCGGAAGAAGGCCGCGGCGCCCGCGCCGCCCGGCGACGACCCCTAATCCATGTGGCTTAGGAGCGCGGACCCCTGGGCCGTGCCCCGCAGCTTGCGGAACGCCTTGAGGCAGATCTGGCGCACGGACTCCTTGCCGATGCCGAGCGCGGCCGCACACTCGCGCGTGCTCCGCTGCGTGCCGTCGTCGAGGCCGTAGCGCAGCCGCACGACGCGCAGCTCGCGGTCGTCTAAAACGGCGGCGAGCGCGTTTGTCAGGTCCGCCTTGAGGTCGCCGACGGCGCAATCCTCGTCCGCGAGGCAGGCCACAAAGTTCGACTCCGAGTCGCCGCCCGCGGACGCGTCGTACGACACCACGCGGCTCCCGTGGAGCGCGCTCGCCGCGGCCTCGACGGCCGCCGTCGACGCGCCTAGATCGCGCGCGACCTCCTCGGCCGTCGCGTCGCGGCCCAGGTCGTTCTGGAGCGCCGAGGAAGACCGCGCGGCACGGAGCCCGAGGTCCGCGACGCGGCTCGGCACCTTGATCATGGCGTCGCCGCGCTTGAGCCAGGCGGAGATCGACGCCTTGATCCAGGCCGTCGCGTAGGTGCCGAAGCGGATGCCCCGCTCCGGCTCGTACTTCTCGACCGCGCGGATCAGCCCGAGCGTGCCCTCCTGCACCAAATCGTCCAGGGCCTCGACGCCGGCGCCCGTGCGCAATCGTTGGTAGCCCCGGGCGATGGACACGACGAGGCCGCCGTTGGCCCGCACCAGAGCGTGCTTCGCCGCCACGGACTCGCGGCGGACTCTGCCTAAATCCTGGGGCGAGCAGTCCGCGCCGAGCGCGGCCTTGGCCCACTCGTCGGCCGTCGGCGTGCGGCCGAGCTGCTGGAACAGCGCGTAGCGCTTCGCCTGCAGGGCCTGCTCGCGCTGGGCGATGCCCGCGAGGTGGCCCTCCTCCTCGAGCGTCAAGCGCCGCGGCTGGGCGTCGAGGCCCGCCAGGGCGGGCATGGCCGACGAAATCGGGACGCGCGTGAAGCTCGAGCTGCTCGACGACACGGAGGCGTGCGGCCGGGCTAGGGCCGCGGCGGAGGATAGGCAGAGGGCCGCGTAGACCGCCGTCGATCTTCCACGCATCGTTCGCCTCTCTAGCTTGATGCTGACTGACGCGGCGTCAGAAATAGATCGCGCAGTTAACTTGCCGTTCAAATAAGCCGCGTCGAATCGACTCTCTCAAATCGAGGACCACCAGCAGGCATCGAAGCGCGCCAAAAACAAACATGTCCGCCGATGATGAGGATGTCCAGGCGCTCGTGGTCGACAACGGCTCGGGCATGTGCAAGGCCGGCTTCGCCGGCGACGACGCCCCGCGCGCCGTCTTCCCGTCCATCGTCGGCCGCCCCAAGCACCCCGGGATCATGGTCGGCATGGACCAGAAGGACGCCTACGTCGGCGACGAGGCCCAGTCCAAGCGTGGCGTCCTCACGCTCAAGTACCCCATCGAGCACGGCATCGTGACCAACTGGGACGACATGGAGAAGATCTGGCACCACACGTTCTACAACGAGCTCCGCGTCGCCCCCGAGGAGCACCCCGTGCTCCTCACGGAGGCGCCGCTCAACCCCAAGGCGAACCGCGAGCGCATGACCCAGATCATGTTCGAGACGTTCAACGTCCCGGCCATGTACGTCAACATCCAGGCCGTGCTCTCGCTCTACGCGTCCGGCCGCACGACGGGCTGCGTCCTCGACTCCGGCGACGGCGTCTCCCACACCGTCCCCATCTACGAGGGCTACGCGCTCCCCCACGCGATCGTGCGCCTCGACCTCGCCGGCCGCGACCTCACGGACTACATGATGAAGATCCTCACGGAGCGCGGCTACTCGTTCACGACGACGGCCGAGCGCGAGATCGTCCGCGACATCAAGGAGAAGCTCACCTACATCGCTCTCGACTTCGACCAGGAGATGAAGACGGCCGCCGAGTCGTCGGCCCTCGAGAAGTCCTACGAGCTGCCCGACGGCAACGTCATCGTCATCGGCAACGAGCGCTTCCGCTGCCCCGAGGTGCTCTTCCAGCCCTCGTTCATCGGCAAGGAGGCGTCCGGCATCCACGACTGCACGTTCCAGTCACAGGGCAGCACAAGAGAGCGAGATTCCCAACTTCAAAGGCTCCGATCTCGGCCGTTTTCCACTCGTTTTGGCTGATTTTTGGACGAGCGATCATCTCTCGGAACGGTCTCGAAGCGTGGGTGCTGTTTCCGAAACGCGCGCGCGCGGAACACTCACGTTGAAGCGACGTTGAATCACCCTTTTCCTGCCCAGGTTCCAGACCATCATGAAGTGCGACGTCGACATCCGCAAGGACCTCTACTGCAACATCGTCCTCTCCGGCGGCACGACCATGTTCCCGGGCGTCGGCGAACGCATGACCAAGGAGCTCACGGCCCTCGCGCCGTCGACCATGAAGATCAAGGTCGTCGCCCCCCCGGAGCGCAAGTACTCCGTCTGGATCGGCGGCTCCATCCTCTCGTCCCTCTCGACGTTCCAGTCCATGTGGATCTCCAAGGCCGAGTACGACGAGTCCGGCCCGGCCATCGTCCACCGCAAGTGCTTCTAGAGCGCGACATCGGCGCGCACGAGTGCAGTCTTCGGTGATTCCTCGGCGCAGCCCCCCCCCAAGCACATCCAGCCTCGATCCAGCTTCAATTCGGCCTCGTTCCCGTCGATTCCGTCGCTTCCGTCGCTTCCGTCGCTTCCGCCGATTCCGCCTCGATTTCGTAAATTCGGCCTCGACCTCCCCACTCACATAAGTGCAGCTTAACAGATGACGCAGGCCGTCGACTTGGGTTTCACGGCGAACATCTCCGCCGCGGCGCGCCGGTCCTCGTCGTCGTCGGTGTGTTCCACCTTCCCTCGACGGGACTGCTCGAGGCCGCGTTTCGCCAGGTCCTTGAACTTGGCGTTCTTGCCCGTCTCCTTTTCCCCGAGGTGCCCCTTGGACATGTTGAAGGGCACGTAGGCGAGCTGGAGCGAGTGGCCCTGGTCCTCCGCGTAGAATTTGAAGATGTTCGCGCGCGCGTCCTCCCGGTAGACCATCTCGAGGGCCACGTCCTTGTCCGGCGGCCTCTGGGAGCGCCAGGGGATGCCCGGCAGCGCCGGGTCCTCGTACTGGCCGTGGAGCAAGATGCCCGTGAAGATGCCCTTGCCGACCCAGCCCTCCGTCGGCGGGGACCCGTCGACGTTCCAGTGGCCCACGCCCGCCTCGAAGAAGTCGGCGTCGGCGAACTTGACGGTGAAGGGCATGCCCCGGTTCGACTGGAGGTGGACGGGGATGGCCGGGTGGCGCGTCTGGCGGAACCGGAGCACCCAGCACCGCTTCCTACCGTCGTAGCGCATGAACGAGTGCTGGCAGACGTCCCAGACGCAGGAGTCGTGGGTGATCAGCCGCTTCACGTTGTCCTTCCAGGAGTCCACGCTGGGGTTGATGCGCATCTTGCGCTTGCGCAGCGCGACGAAGTCGTGCTCCGCGACCGCGCGGTCCTCGCGCTTGTAGTCGAGATTGTAAAAGCTCTTGGGCCAGAACTTGCCCACGCCGTAGAGGCGCACGGCGGGGATCTCGCGGTCCGGGAGCGGCCGACTCGGCGGCCGCGTGATGCGCTCCGGCTCCAGCGACCGGTTCTTGCCCGAGGGGCTGGCGAAGCCGCCCATGAAAGCGTCGGCGGCGCGGACGTCGCCGCCGTGGGGGCGAAACGCGAGCCTCGGGTGTCACGGATGGATCACCGTCGATCCGCGCGCGGACCGCGGGACCAACGCATGCCGGCGCGCGAGGTTTCGGGCTGGCGGGCGCGACCGCTGCGGTCCATGGGCCTCGTCTGGGCAGCGCGGCTCCTCGAGAGAGGCATTCCAAGCCGGATTCATAAAAGTGCATAGCAAACTTCACCGTCTCTCCGATTCGTGGGAGGCTGCCCACACAAAGTCGCCTACCTCGCAGCCACCGACATGAGCTTCCGGGACTTTGCGAAGCGGCGCCAGAACGAGGCCGCCGTGCGGGCCAAGGACCCTCGGGCGGCGGACGCGACGACGGACCTCGTCGACGGCGGCACCTACGCCGCCGACGGCTTCGGCCGCGAGACCTCGCCCCCCGCCGGACGAGGCCCTCGGCGTCAACCCGCCGGTGAGAGCCCCGGCGTGGCCCTCGGCCCCGGAGCCCGCGCCGCCGTCGCCCGTGGCGATGCCCGCGCCCGCGGCGATGCCCGCGGTGAAGCCCGCGCCCGCGGCGATGCCCGCGGCGACGCCCGCGCCCGCGGCGATGCCCGCGGCGAAGCCCGCGCCGCCGCCCGCGCCCGCGCCGCCGCCCGTCGCGGCGCCCGCGCCCGCGCCGCCGCCGGCCCGGGCGCCCGCGCCCGAGGCGCCCGAGCCCGCGCCGGAGCCGCCCGCGCCGGCGTCGCCGGCGCCCCGCGACTCGGAGCCGGAGGTGACGACGACGGACCGCGGCGTCGCCTACCGCGTGCTGCCGACGCGCAAGGGCAAGGGCGGCGGCTTCGCGTCGTTTCTCAAGGAGCGCAAGGCCACGCCGCAGAAGGAGCCGCCGGTTCCGCCGGCCCCGGAGCCCGCGCCGGCCCCGGCCGCGCCGGCCCCGGTCGTCCGGGCGGCGCCGCCGCCGCCCGCGCCCGCGCCGCCCGCGCCCGCGCCGCCGCCCGCGGCGACGGCGACGCCGCTCCCGGCGCCGCCGCGGCCGGCGTCGCCGTCGCCGTCGGGGAGCGCGCTCGAGATCCTCGACCTCCGCGAGGCGCTTCGCGCCGCGGTCGCGCGCGCCGACGCCGTCGAGGCGCGGCGCGACGACGCCGCCGCCGGCGCCGAGGCGCTCGCGGCCGCCGTCGCGCGCGCCGAGGCCGCGGAGTCGCGGACCGAGAAGCTCGAGGCGCGGCTCGCGCAGGCGCGCGCGGCCGCGGACGCCGAGGCCGCGGCGCGCGCCAAGCTCGAGGGCGAGGCCGCGGCGCTCAAGCGCGAGGCCGCGGCGCTGGCGGAGGAGCGGGACACGCTCAAGGCCGCGGCGACGCGCGAGCGGTCCGAGTTCGAGGCCTTCATGGACGGCGAGCGCGACAAGAACGTCGAGCTCGAGGCCCGGCTCAAGGAGGCGCGCGTCGCCGCGGCGCGGAGCCAGGTCGCGGCCCTCGACGACCTCCACGTCACCCTGCTCCGGCACATGACGGACGCGTCGGCGCAGCTCGACCTCCTCTCTGTCGACACGGACAAGTCCCGCCGCGCCGCGGGCTAGGCGCGGCGCCTTAATAAGCTTATTAGACGAGGAGGCGCGGCACGGGCGACGCGTCGCCTTCCTCGAGGATGACCTCGTCCTCGTCCACCGGCGCGCCCTCGGCGTCGCCGCCCTCGTCCGCCGGCGCGCCCTCGGCGTCGCCGCCCTCGTCCACCGGCGCGCCCTCGGCGTCGCCGTCCTCGGCCTTGTTCTCCTCGGCGCCGTCGCCGTCGATGCCGAGGCTCGCGGCGAGGTCGGCCTTCTCCGGCGCGACCTTGGGCTTGTTCCGGCTCTCCGTGACGGTGCAGATGGGGATGAAGCAGCCCACGGTCGTCTCGCGCGTGTCGCGGCGCTTCTTGGCCCACTTCTTCCGGCGCCGCGGCGCGTCGCCGCCCGGCGGCGGCGACCGCGGCGACCGCGGCGGCGACCGCGGCGATTCCGGCGACGGGGACCGGCCGCGGTCCGGCGAGCCCCCGTTCTCCGACGACGACGAGCGGCCGCGCGCGCGGCCGCCGCGGAGCTCCATGCCGCGGATGAGGTCGAGCCCCTCCTCGACCATCTGCATCTCGCGCGTGTTGAACTTCTCGAACTCCGAGAGGAGCGTCTGCGACTGGCGCCGCGCGTGGTGCTCCTTGTGCTGCGTCTGGCGCGCCATGTCCGCCTCGATGACCGCCTTGTCGTAGGGGTCCGCGAGCGCCGCGACGTGGCCCTCGAGCACCGCGCGGATGGGCCCCGGCGGCGGCCGGTCGCGGCACGCGGCCGCCATGGCCTTGAGGAAGTCGGCGCAGCGCCCAAAGTCCTTGGGGTTCGTGCAGAGCAGGTAGTAGAGCACGGACGACCGGTCCTCCTCGGCGACGGCGTAGTGGAGGCTCCGCGAGGCCTTGTTCGCGATGCACGTGTGCTCCTGGAGCCGCGTGAGGACGGAGAAGAAGACCTGGCGCTCCACCGTCGTCAGGAAGTGGACGACGAAGTCGATGGCCCCGCCGAAGGATTGGGCGAACTCGCGCCAGAACGTCGCGCGGTGGTCGCCCGAGTAGACGGACGTCGGGGACGCGTCGTCGACGACGTGGCACATGTGCTCCGCCAAATCGAAGAAGTCGTCGATGTCGCTCGGCGAGCGGTGCGGGTCCGTGAGGTACTGGCCCAGGGCCCAGGGGTGGAGCGTCGCCGCGAGCTCGCCCGCGGCGACGAGCTTCGCGTACTCGCGGGCCGCCTTCTCCGTCTTGCCGCCGCCGCCGTGGAGGTGGACGTTGCTGCAGTCCGCGGCGACCTCGGCCACGTACTTCAGCGCCGCGAGCCAGTCCTCGCCGCAGCCCGGCGTGCCGCCGGCCGCGACCGCGTCCTCCGGCGCGGGGCTCTTGCGCTTGGTGCCGCTGGACCGCGCGTAGCGGCGGAGCACGTGCTTGTTCCGGTTCCGCGCCTGGTGCTTCGCGTGCTCCTTGATGGCCCGCCCGCCGGCGACGGCGACGAGGGGCCCCGCGCCCGCGTAGCAGAGCGCCGCGTAGACGGTCCGCCAGTCCGCGTCCGGCTGGAAGACGATGACCGTGCCGCGGCCGCCGTCCTCGAGCAGACCGACGGACGCCGCCGCGAGGGCCAGCAGGTAGAACCAGGCCCAGTTCGCGAGCGAGTTCAGGCCGCTGGAGATGTGGGGCTGCTTCTCCGCCTCCTCGAGCGCGAAGCGCGCGAAGGCCACGAGGACGAAGCCGAGCTGCACGGGCGCCGGGTTCACGTTCGTCGCGCAGAGCGCGACGAGGAAGGCGACGAGCGCGCGCCGCGCGTGCCAGTTGTGGCAGGGGTGGTGGTACGGCGCGACGAGGTAGCCGACGAGCGCCTGCGTCTCCGAGTCGTGGACGCCCTTCTTCTCCCGGAGCGAGCGCCAGACGCGGACGTAGCCGAGCAGCGGGAGGCCGACGCCGACGACGGCGACGATGAACGCCGCGAAGCCGCGCTGCATCGTCCCGTCTTCGCCCATGCAGCGGACGTCGTGGTCCGCCTCGAGGAACGACTCGCCGAAGATCGTGTCGCAGGGGAGCAACCGCAGCGCCTTGAAGGTGATGACGGCGTGCTGGAGCGTCATGAACGACATCGCCTGCTGGCACGCGTGGTAGAACTCGCCGCCGAGCGCGCCGTCCTCGAAATCCAAATCCCCCGGCCGGCAGCCCCGCCAGAGGAACTTCCAGACCACGAGGCCGACGTAGCGCGCGAAGCCCCCGGCCGCGAGGAAGAGCTGGTAACTCAGCGAGTCCGCCGGCGACCAGTCGACCCAGCACGTCGGCGCCAAGACGTCGAGATCGAGGAGCAGGACGTTCAGGAACGTGCCGAAGGGGTGCATGCTGTCCGGCTTCGGGAACTTGCAGTGCAGGACGATCCCCGCCAACTGCAGGAAGTAGATGATGAGGTTGATCGACGGCACGGTCTCGAGGAACGAGTGCAGGACGAGGTAGCCGACGAAGAACGCGGCGCTCACGCCCGCCGCGAATACTTTCCGCATGTCCGGCTCGTCGGGGCACGCCTCGGGGTTGTAGTAGCCGAACTTGTAGTAGCCCGGGCTCGACACGCGCTCGCAGAGCGTGTTCCCGTAGCCCTCGGCGCATTCGTAGCCGACGTCGGCGCAGACGACGTCGCTCTCGATGACGCCGATCGTGCCCCAGATCATCGACGCCTCGAGGGGCCGGCAGTTTGCGGCATTGACCGCGCAGCGGCCCAGGCCCGGCCGGCACTCGGCCGTCCGCGTCGGGTCGTCGACGTGGGCCCAGTGGTTCGGCCTCGTCAGCGGCGCGTGGCCGTAGCCGAGGCACGACGCGCCGTCGGGGCAGGGCAGGCAGTCCACGCCCGGCAGGCCCCAGGTCGCGTGGCGCGACGATCCGCGCACGTAGCTCGCGTTCGCGACCGACGAGTAGTAGCCGAAGAGGCAGACGCACTCGTCGAGGGCCACGCCCGCGTCGAGCAGGGTCCAGGCGCGCGCGCTGTTCGCCGGGCAGGTCTTGCAGGCCGTCAGCCCGCGCTCGTCGGCGTAGGACGTCTCGCCGTAGCACGCGGAGCAGCCCTCGCCGTTCCCCGGGCTGTACGTCCCGACCGGGCACCGCGCGCACTCCGAGACGCCGTCGCCGTCCTCCGACAGCTCCGTGCCCGCGAGGCAGGCCGTGCAGTTGCCCCCGTCGAAGGCCCGGTGCGACTCGAGGCACGCGCAGTAGTCCAGGCTTTTGGCGCGCGGCTTCGACCACGTGCCGTTGGGGCAGCTCGCGCACCCGCGGCCGGCGTCGTACGTCCCCGCGGCGCAGCCCTCGCAGTATCCCGTCGCGCGGTCCAACACGTACCCCTTGGCGCAGGAGCAGCGGTCGTAGCCGTCGTAGGCGTCGTCGATGGTCACGTCGTGGCCCTCGACGGTGGACACGGCGGGGAAGCAGCGGCGCCCGGACGGCTCGTCGACGACCTTGCTCGACCGGTCCGCCTCGAGGAACACGGGCAGCGCGTCGTCGCCCATCCTCGGGTTCCCCGCGACGTAGAGGTTCTCCAGGTTGGCGTACTCGGACCAGACGGCGCCCTCGAGGTCGTTGTCCGAGAGGTCGAGCGTCGTGATCACCTCCGGGAGGTTCGCCGGCGCGGGCAGGCTGCCCGTGAGCGCGTTGCGCGCGAGCTTCGCGGTGCGCAACGTTTCCGCCGGCGGCTTGCTGTCGTAGGCGGCGTCGAGGTCGCCCGTTAACAGGTTGCCGCTCAGGTCGAAGACCATGAGGCGCGAGAAGCGGTGCATGCGCCTGCGTGGAAACCAACCACTGGTTTGGGTGGTCCTGACCAAACTTGAGAATTCTCTCGCTCGGTCACATCGAAGTCGATTCGGCTGATTTTTGGACGGATCGATCGCTCTCGTCGAGTGCTCGAAGCCCAGCCGAAGCGCTTGTGTCAAAACATTCGAATACGCTCACGTTGAAGTCGGGTCGAAGATTTGGTTTCCACACGGGCACGCGCCGCGCGGCGTCCCGGACGTCCAGCGCGATCGCGTTCTCGGCCAGCGACAGCACGAGGAGCTCGGGCATGACGACGGCGTCCGCCTCGGCCCAGGACTCGGGCAGCGTCGCCAGGCGGTTGCCCGCGAGGCTCAGCGTCTCGCAGGCGCTCATGTTGCGGCCGAAGTCGTCCGCGAAGGCGTCGACGTCGTTGTTCTCGAGGTTGAGCACCCGGAGCGCGCTCCCGAAGTTCGGCAGCGTGCCGTTGAAGCGCTGCGACTTGGCGAAGACGTACGTGAGCGCCGGCAGGGACGCGACGGCGTCGAGGGGCCCCGCCAACGCCCGCGTGGTCGTCGCGTTGTCGCTGCCCGCGGAGAGCATGAGCCGCTCGAGGGACGCCAGGTCGCGCCACGCGTCGGGCAGCGCGCCCGTGAAGTGGTTCCCGCTCAGGCGCAGGTTCGTCAGCCCGTCGCACCCGCCGAGCGCCGCGGGCAACGGGCCGACGAGGCCGCTGTACTGGACGCTCAGCGTCGTCAAAACGCACGGCGCGGGCCACGCGCTCGGCAGGCGCTCGCCGGCCAGGGACTCGGACGCCAGCCGGAGGAGGTCGAGGTTGGGCGCGTCGGCGAAGGCGTCGTCGGGCAGGCCGCCGACGATCTCGGCGGACCCGAGGTCCAGCGTCGTGAGGTTCCCCGCGAGGACCGGCTTGAGGCTCGTGAGGTTCGCGGACAGCCCGACGTTCTCCGCGAGGAGCAGCTCCTCGAGCGCGCCGAGGCCGCCGAGGGCCGGCAGCAGGCCGTCGAGGCCGTTCTCGACGAGGTCGAGCGCGACGACGCGGCCGCCGGCGCAGGTGACGCCGTGCCAGGCGCACTCGTCGGCCGCCGCCGTCGCCCAGCCGCTCGCGTTGGCCCAGCCGCTCCCGCCCGTCGCGTCGTAGAGTTCGAGGAGGGTCGCCCGCTGCTGGCTCGCGGCGGCGCCGGCCACGCAGAGCCCGAAGATCCACGTCGCGGGCTGCATGGTCCCCACCTGGGTGTTGGTGCCACTTTCCAAATGTGCAAAAATCCTCGGCAACGTTGCAGTTTTTGTATCATCAAAACGACCGGGGGCTTAGTCCCGGCGTCGACCGTCGTCGGCGGCGCGTCGCGCCGGCGGTCGACGGGCGCGCGTCGCGGCGACCCAGCGCAGCGCGCCATGGACACGTCGCCGGGCAAGGACGCCGGGGGCGGCGGCGTGCCGCTGTCGGCCATGCTCGACGCGAAGAACACGCGCATCCGCGCCGAGGCGGACATGAAGCTCCTCCAGAACCGGCTCGCGCACCTCACCGTCGCCGAGGAGCGCGCGCGGAAGAAGATCGCCGAGACGAAGGCGCGCACGCAGGAGATCGTGAGCCTCAAGAAGCGCAACGTCGACCACGCGGGCGCGAAGAGGGCGCAGGCGACGGAGCGCGAGGTCAGCGTCGCCGCGACGCGCAAGGCCGTCGCCCACAACCGCAAGTCCATGGCGCGCCACGTCGCCGCGTCCCGCGCCGAGGTCGAGGGCCAGCGCAAGCGCGAGGCCGAGTCCACGCGGAGCCGGCTCCGCGAGCTCGGCGGCGTCGCCGCCGCGAACGGCGACGACCTCAAGAGCCGGAACAAGCTGCGCAACGAGCAGGCGCGGCGCGAGCGCGACGAGGCGCGACGGAGGAAGGAGCAGGCGCGCCTCGAGCAGGAGCGCAAGCGCCAGGAGGAGTACGCGCGCAAGGTCGAGGAGGAGACGCGCCGCGCCGTCGAGGCCGAGAAGCTCATCCAGGACATGGCCGTCCAGGAGCAGGAGCTCATCGAGCGGCTCCGGTCCACGCAGGACATGCAGCGCGCGGCCTACGAGGAGCTCCAGGCGAGCCTCCAGCTGTGACGCGCGCGCCGGGGGCAGAAACGACGCGGGAGCCTAAGCATGTCTTAGAAGCAACGGGTTTCGGCTGCTGCCGAAGACAGACGCACCGTGGAGCTTCTTACGTGCTAGGGGCGAGGGAAAAGCGCGCGCGGCATTTTTTTTTTGCTTTTTTTCTCGCGGGCGCCCTAGTCCTCGTACTGGCTCGCGTCGTAGCAGCCCGGGAGGAAGACCTCGCACTTCTCGGCGATGGCGAGGACGATGTTGTTCCGGCCCGCGTTGACGCCCTTGGCCTGGAGCCAGTAGTAGAACATGTCGCAGTGCTCGACGCACGTCGTGTCCGCGGCCTTGAGCGAGAGGAACTTGCCGATGAGCTGGTAGGTCGTCGTGATCGACTCCTCGACCTTGTCCGTCGCCGCGAGGAGCTTGACGTTCGCCGGGCCGATGCCGGGGATCTGCTCGAGGTCGCCGGTGACCTGCTCCCGGAGCCAGTCCGCGAGCTTGTCCTCGTTGATCTTCGTCTTCTTCGCGGAGTAGCCGTCGGCGCTCATGGTTCCGATACGCGGGGCCTGCGCGGGGTGCGCGCGGTCGAGCCGGGGCGCGTTCGCGTCGCGGAGCGCGCGAGCGGCGGGCGGACCGCGCGCGTCACACAGACCGCGCGCGAGCCGCGGCGGGCCGCGGGGCGAGCGGCGACGCGGCGCGGGCGTCGCGGGTCGCCGCGCCCAGCGCCGCGTGCGTCGTGTCCCGGGATGCGACGATCGCCGCGGCAACGGCGCCAACGGCGGCGTTCTTGCCACAAGCGCTTTGAGGCGCGTTTGTGGGGTGTTTCGCCGTCGCAGCGTCGTCGCAGCGGTCCACGTCGCGTCGGGGTACGGCCAGAGGGCGTGGGCGAGGGTCAAGAAGTGCGCGCGAGTGCCCAGGCGCCGGGTAGTGCGGGGTATAAACGCGAGAAGAGTCGACGAACCGCGGAGGAACCGGCTTGATCAAGGGCAAACGAGGCAACCGTGCCCGTCGCCGGCCTGTGGCAACGGACGACGCGACGCGGTGAGGAGTCCGAATTGACGCGGTGAGGAGTCCGAATTGACGAATGGACGGCCTCGACGACATCAGCCAGGAGGAGATCGACGCCTTCGCGGCGTCGGGCCAGGACCTCGGGCCGGGCGAGGACTCCATCTTCGTCGCGGCCTTCGCCGAGGCCTTCGACCACGACCCCAACGTGGCCGCCTGCCGGCCCTGCAAGCCGGCGCCGCCGCTCATGTTCCGATCGCCGACGCTCGTCTACCTGCCCCAGAAGGCCGAGGCCGAGTTCGACGCGCTGGCGGGCGCGTACTCGGCGAACCTCGCGCCGAACCTCGCGCCGTCGGAGGGGCGCTGGCCGTCGGACGGCGCGGACGCGTCCGGCTACATCGCGTCGGCTTCGGACGTGCCGGCGCCGCCGGCGCCGGCCGAGGACGCGCCGACGCCGCCGGCGGACGCGCCGGACGGGCTCGCGCCGTCGATCGCCGCGCGCCTCGCGTCGTCGGACGCCGTCGAGGCCGCGCTCGTCAGCGTCTGCGGCTTCGTCGACCCCGTGGTCATGGCCCTGGCGTCGGGCCACGCGACGGAGGACGCGCTGCGGGCGGCGCTCGCGCGGGCGCTCGGCGCGGAGCAGGCGGCGCGCGTCGCCGACGCCATCGTCCGCGGCGACCGGCCCGAGGCGTCGTCGTCGTCGTCCGACGACGACGGCGACGGCGACGCGCCGATCCCGGACTGGGTCCGCGCGGCGGACCTCGACGACCAGCTCGTGCGGTTCGACGCCTGGGTCCGCGGCGACGGCGCCCTGCGCAGCGGCGACGACGGCCCCGCCGCGGACCTCGGCGCGCGGCTCGCGCTCGCCGTCCAGGAAGCGCATCCCTACGCGCTCGCGGAGGTCTACGGGAGCCGCGCGTGCGGCGTCGAGCTCTTCGACAGCGACGTCGACCTGCGGCTCCTCGACGCCGTGCCGCTCGCGGACGTCGCGCGCGCCATCGACGGCGCGGCCTGGAGCCGGAGCGTGGAGCACGTGCACGCGCGCGTGCCCGTCGTCAAGGGCGTCGACCGGCGCACGGGCCTCGCCTTCGACGTGTCGCGCGCCTGCGACGGCGACCGCGCCGCGGCGGACCGCGGCGACGCCGGCGACGGCACGGCGGCCATCGAGGCCTTCGCGGCGGCGCGCGCGGCCTACGCGCCCGTCTGCCGCTTCGCCAAGGTGCTCCTGCGCCAGAGCGGCCTCGACGACGTCTACGGCGGCGGGCTGGGGTCCTTCCGCTGCTGCGCGCTCGTCGCGAAGGCGCTCCCGAACAAGCCGCCGGGCGCGGCGCTCCTCGGCGTCCTCGACGCCTGGGCGTCGCCGCGGGCCTACGACGCGCCGCTGTCCTTCGGCGGGTCGGCCGTCGACCTCTCGTCGCTCGACGACCCGCGCGCGCTCGCGGCGTGCTTCGCGCGCGCGGCGGCGGCGATCCGGTCCGGCGGGTTGGCGGCGGCGCTCGACGTGCCGGGCCTCGCGCGCCGGAGGCGCAAGCACGACCGGCGGACGACCCCGGTGGGCAACCACGTCGACCGGCGATGCGCGAAGAAGCGGCGGACGAGTTAAGGATGCTTCGCGAGGGCGTCCTTCAGCCAGGCGACGTAGATTGCGCGCCCGCCGGCGTAGGCCTCGTGCCGCTTCTTCTGCGACGCCTGGCCGGGCCGGAGGTTCGTGCCGACGAAGTGGTGGAGCTCGTGGTCCTTGACGCGCACGACGCCCGTGTCGCCGTCGACGATCAAGCCGCCGAAGAACTGGTCGAAGTTCTCCTGCGTCGAGTAGTAGAACGCCGCCAGGGGGTCGCAGCGGACCGCGTACGCGTCGACCTTGGGGATCGACGCGAGCAAGCCCGGCATGGCCGCGAGCTCCGCGGCGACGTCGTCGAGGTCCGCGGAGCAAGCGTCGAGGCCCACGATGGCGAGGTCGTGCATCATCCCGACGACCTTCCGCGCGGCCCTGGGGTCGCAGGCGAAGTTGAACTCGGGCACGTTGTAGGGCGCCTGGTCGAGGTCGAAGTCGGGCTTCTTGTACTTGAGCTTGTTGCCGCCCATGGCGACGCACTCGCCGAAGTGATAGTCCAGGGTCTCCTTGTCGAGGCCCTCGAGGGCGGCGGCGACGTTGGTGAGGGGCCCGAGGAAGAGCCCGTCGGGGCGATCGAGGCGCGCGAGCGCGTCCGCGACGGTCGACGCGCTCGGCGCCGCCCGCGGCAAGTCCGCGGCCCACGCGACCATTTTTTCGCGCGCCGTCGCGAGCCACGGCGCGACCTCGACGCTCGGCGCGGGCAGGCCGGCGACGACCTCGACGTCGTCGCGGCCCAGGGCCTTGAGCAGGCCCGCGACGCGCGCCGCGCCGACGGCCGGCGTCTCGCAGGCGCCGCTCGTCGTCGTGACCAACTTCAAATGCTCGTCGGACGCCAGCGCGCCGATGGCGAGCAGGTCGTCGAAGCCCGCATCCGTGTCGATCCACAGCGGCGCCGTGCGTTTGAAGGTCGAGACAACGGGCGGGGTTGGCGCTTGATAGGACGAGAAATGTGGATGCGCTTGATAGAAGTCTGCCATGGCTGCCAGCGAAAAGCGCATGCACAGACGACTAGCAACCGGACGTGGAGGCTGAGCTTTGGCAAAAACTCACACGAGCTCCATCGGACGCCTCATCGGCTGCCACACTTGTGGACAAGCGAAGCTGCCTTGGCCACGGGTTTGGTTGACAGTTGGGCCCACCTGAGGCAGATCGCGCACGTCGCGGCTCACCCTAGCCGCCATGGGGGTTTAAAAAATCTTCAGTGTCCAGTACTCTGGAGGAGCTCGGCTTCGGTTTTCCTGGGAGTACGATTTAAATCCTAATGCTCCTGCGGTGCGCCTATACCGCCAATGGTCGCGCAAGTACGCGCCGCTTTAATCCCTTCCCGACGTCGGCGGCGTTTTTTTTTGCCCCGGCCAAAATCGGCACGGCTCACGGCCCGCAGCCCAGCTCACCGGTGCATCTGTCGGCCTGGGCGGCGCTCCAGCGCAGCGCAGGCGTGCCCGTGGGCCTCCGCGAGGGTTGCGCACTTGTGTGTGACCTATGGACGGTCTCTAGCACTTACTAATCGACGGACCAAGTTGCAGTGAAATGTATCGCTCGGCTGAAACGTCGTCTTTTGATGGAGACGATGTGGTTGGTCGGCGGAGCGGGGCTGCGTCTGGGGTCTGGGGCGCCCGAAGGTACTATGCCCGCGCGGCTGCCGGCCGGAATCGGGGCGACGAGAGAGGGGTTCGCTTGGCATAGTACCTTCGAGCACCCAGAACCTCGCCGCGGGGACCGCCTCGCGCGCGCGGAGAGAGAGGGGAAAATGATCTCGGCTTCTGCGTGCTCCCGAGACGAGCGGGCTGAAGATTTGGGATGCTCGACCCCGAATTGCCATTGCGAAGTGTGCTCAGTTTCTCTCCCCCTGGCCTGGAACATGCCAAACCCAGCATCAGAGATCGTGCGACCATCATCGACGACGTCCAACCCTTTTTCGAAAGTAAACTTCTAGGTTCAATAAGTTAATGTTGCGTTCCGGCCGACGATTGGTAAGTGTCTAGCCAGCTCCATAGCTCCCGAAATCACTCTCGCGCGCGTCTACGGCGTGCGCCCAAAAGTGGCGAAATCCGCGGTCCCGCCATGCGGCGGCGCATCGGCGAGCCTTCGGACTCTTTTTCAACCAGATGCTCTTCATGATGGTGCGAGTCGATGGTGTGACGCGTTCCTGGTGTCGCGTCGAAAATTCGACGACTCGCGAATGTCCGCCGGGCGCCGAAACGCTTCGACCGAAAACGCGAGCCGCGGTGCGCCTGTGGGCGCTGGTGGCGGACTGGCTGTCGTCGAAGGCGTAGACCACATGTGACGAGCGGGCGAAGGCGTCGGAGTCGCCCCGGGTTGCGAAATCGGCGTGCGAGAGGTTGATCTGGTCTGCAATGCCGGTTCAATGTGGGTTCAACAATTAAATCCAGCCCGAGAAAAACCAACCCCGGGCGACCCCGGGCCTCTCCTAAGTGTCGTAGATTAAAGCATGGGACTCGGTTGTGGCCTGCCGAACGCTCCTAATGGTCCTCTAATGGTGGTTCAAATTAAACCCCCATGATGGTTTTGTCTACGTCGCGGCGCAGGTCGGACTCCGCCCCGGCGCGTAGGCCTATTCCAATCCCTAACCAGACTCGTATCGACCAGCGACGCAAGCTGTCCGGACGAGTGGCGGCGTGCAAAACCTCCGGCCAAATGCCTTGACCGGGGGTTTCTGCAGAGTCTTTTGCAAATGGCAGTTCATACGATGGTCGAGTGCCTGTTCAGGCCTAGTCATCCGTAAAACGCACACAAAAACACACTCCCATCGTCTGCAAACGAACGCGTATCGCTCCGACACACGCCTGCTGAAAAAAACCATGGCCGACGTCCTCATGTCCGAGGCCGAGGTCGAAGAACTCATCGAGCGCACGCGGCACGCCCTCGACGCCGTCGGCGACCTCGACGACGACGCCGTCGCGTCCATCCTCGACCTCGAGGACGCCCAGGCCATCGCGGCGGCGAGCGTCGGCAGCCTCGCGCCCCTCGCGGCGGCCGCGGACGCGTGGCTCGACCTCGGCGGCGCGGGCAAGGCGCTCTGGCCCGCGGCGCCGGCCGCGGCGCTCCGCCGGGCCTTCGCGGGCGTCGTCGTCGCCGTGCACCGGTCCCTGGGCGAGGGCGGCCGCCTCGACGACGGCTGCGAGGCCGCGGCGTGCTACGCGGCGCTCTCGACCGTCGCCGAGGCGCCGTCGGCCGTCGCCTACGCGTCGTGCTGGCGGTCCGTCGCGCGGCTCCTCGAGCGCGGCGGCGCGCCGCGGCTCTGGGACGCCGTCGCGCGCTGCTGGCGCGGCGACCGCTTCGCCGTGGCGCTGAGCGAGCTCGGCGAGTCGTCGCCGGAACTCGTGACGCGCCTCGGCGCGTGCGCGGTCGCGAAATTGCCCGCGTCCGAGGACCTCGTCGCGGCCCTGGGCGCGGCGAACCTGTGGGTCGTCGAGGCGCTCGTGCCGCCGCTCGTCGGCGCCGGCGCCGCCGCGGCGAACCGGGCCCGCGCGGCGCTGGCGAAGACGCGACTGACGGACGCCGCGCGGCTCGGCCTCTGCGAGCGGCTCTGCGTCGTCGGCGCGGGCGCGGCGACGGCGGCGCGGGCGCGCGTCTGCGAGACGGTCTGCGAGACCCTGGCGACGCCCGCCGTCGCGGACGAGCTGACGGCGTTCCTCGCGGAGAAATTGGCGGTCTGCGACAAGCCGGGGCGCCGCGCGATGGCCGCGGACGTCGCCGGCGCGCTGCTCGCGCGGCGCCTGAGCGAGTCGGCGCCGCCACCGGACGCCCACCCCGGGCGCGCGAGCCTCGGCGACGCGATGCGCGCGGCGCTCACCGCGGACGAGGACGGCGCGGATCCCACGGCCGCCGCGGCGCTCAAGCGGCTGCTCCTGGGCCGCGCGGGCGACAAGGCGCCGGGCACGCGCGCGCGCGCCCTCGCGGCCCTCGCGGCCCTGCCGGCGGAGGCCTGGGCCGACGGCGACCTCGCGGCGCGCGCCGCCGCGCTCTCGGTCGACCGGCTGCGCCGCGACGACCGCGCCTTGGTGCGGGCCAAGGCCGTGCACTGCCTCGCGGCGGCCGTCGCGGGCCTCGGCGACGACGAAGGCGCCTGGGCGAGCATCGTCGACGCGGCCGTGCTGGCGGCGAACGACGAGGCCATCTCCGTCAAGGTCGCCGCGGTCGGCGCGATCGGCGGCTGGCTCGAGGGCCGGCCGGGCGACGGCGCGCTGCGCCGGGCCTGGCCCGCGCACTGCCTGCCGCTCATCCACGAGGCGCTGGACGTCATGCCGTCGCTCGCGAACCGCGTCGCGGACCAGCTCGAGGCCTTGGTCCTCGCGCCGCTCGGCGGGAACGGCGCCGCCGCGGACGCGGCCTGGGCGCTCCTCGGCGCCTGCGCCGGTTCCCCGGAGCTCCGCGCGTGCCTCCGCGCGACGCTCGGCCACCTGGCGCCGCGGCGGAAGCGGCCGCTCCTATGCGACCGCGCGGGCGCCGCGCTCGTCGGCGCGGTCGAGACCGCGGCGGCGGCGGGCGACTGCGACGGCGCCGTGCCGGCGCTGCGGTTCCTCGAGGACGTGCTCCGGAGCTCCGAGGAGGACCAGGTCGAGGCGCTCGAGGCCGCGTGCCTCGCCGTCGCCGAGGACGCGACGGCCGCGGACGCCGCGCGCGCGGCCGCGCTCCGCGCGCTCGGCGCGTCGGGCGCCGCGCCGCCGGCGGACCGCGTGCGCCAGCTCAGCTTCGCGGGCGTCGAGACGGCCGCGGCCGCCGTCGCGTGCGCGGCCGAGGCCGGCGCCTTCGACGGGCGGAGCTGGGCCGCCGAGGCCTGCGAGTCGACGGCGCCCGCGGCGCTCGCGGTCATCGCGGCGCTCGCGGCCCACGGCTGCCTCCCGGAGGACGACGCGTCGGTGGACGCCTGCGCGGACGTCGCCTACGGCGCGGCGCGCTCCGACTCGGCGAGCTTGCGGAATCTGGGAGTGGCAGCTTTGGGCGCTCTGGCGCGGTGCTCCGCGGCCGTCGCGCGCGACGTCGTGCCCGCGCTCGCCGCGACGCTCGACGACGATTACGCGTCGCCGGCGGCCAAGGTCGCGTGCCTCGCGTGCCTCGGGGACCTCTGCGTCGCGCGGACGTCGCTCGTGGAACCGCGGGCGCGGTCGCTCTGCCTGCGCCTCGGCGACGCGGACGCGGACGTGCGGCGCCACGCCGTCGTCGTCATCGCGCGCCTGCTGGGCCGCGACTACCTCAAGTGGCGGCCCGAGCTCGTCGTGCGCTTCTTCTCGTGCCTCGCGGACGCGGCGCCCGCGAACCGCGCGTTGGCGAGGCACGCGCTCGTCGACGTGCTCCTGCCCAAGACGCCGACGCTCTTCGTGAACCACGTCGTCGCCTGCCTGCGGCTCTACACGGGCGACCGCGGCGACGCGGAGACGGCCGACCTGCCGCGCCACTTCGGCGGGACGGCAAACGCGGCGCGGCGCCGCGCGGTCTACCGCGCGCTCCTATCGGCGACGCCCGACGAGGGCAAGGTCCAGGTGTCGGCGAAGCTCGCGCGGGAGGTCCTCGCGCCCGCGGCGGACGTGCCGAGCCTCGGGCCCCAGCTCCGGGACCCGGAATCGCCCGCGTACAACGCCGTCGCCGACGCGTTGCACCTCCTCGGCGGCGACCTCGAGGTCCTCGCGCCCTCGCGCAAGGCCGCCGACGACGACGGCGCCGACGACGACGCGCCCGACGCCGCGGCGACGACGCGGTCCAAGACGTTGGCCGCCGCGCGCGGCAAGCTCCTCGGCCACATGTCGAAGCTCCACCTCCTCGAGCAGGTGCTCCCCATCCTCATCGCCCTCAAGCACACGCTCGACAAGCTCAAGTCCCCCCTCGCCGCGCCCCTCGTCGCCACGCTCAAGCGCGTGCTCGCGACGCACGGGCCCGACGTCGAGAAGGTCCTCGCGACGGACCCGCACCTCGCGCGCGAGCTCAAGTACGACCTCAAGCGGTCCAAGGCGCCGAAGCAGGCCGCCGGCGCCGAGCCCGCCGCCGCCCCCCGCAGCCCCCTCGCGGAAGCGAACTAAGCCAAGCCTGCACAGCGGTCGTGGCGCGGGGCGGCGCGCGGCGCGGGACAGCCGGCGGCCGGGACGACACATCATGTCGAGTCGACCCCCGGCGCATGACTCGAGCCGGCTTTTGAGCCCTTGCTTATGTGGCAGCTCTGAGTTGCTGATTGCGTCGCCGTTCACAGCTCCGTCGCGGCACATGCACATGCGTCGACCGATGCGCCGCGCCCTCGCGTGCCTCGTCGCGCTGCGCATCGCCGGCGCCGCGCGACCGACGACGCGGCGCGGCGCGCTGCGGTCCCTCGCCGGCGCCGCCGGCCTCGCGCCGGCCGTCGCCGGCGCCGCGTCGCTCACGCCCATCGCGCCGCCGGTGACGCGACCCGAGGCCGGCCGCTTCTTCGCCGAGGCGATCCTGCCGCCCGTGCCCTTCGCGCGCGCGACGTACCGCTACGACCTCGGCCGCGGCGCCTACGCGTTCGAGCAGCTCCTAAGGTTTAGCAACGTGTCGGCGACGGTGCGCATGACCGTGCAGCGGCTCAAGTCCGGCGGTCTGTGGGTCAACGCGCCCGTCGCGCCGACGGGCGAGTGCCTGAGCCTCCTCGCGGACCTCGACGCGCCCGTCGAGCACCTCGTGCTGCCCGTGACGGCGCTCGAGCACAAGGCCTTCTTCGGGCCCTTCGCGCGCAAGTTCCCGCGGGCGTCGACCTGGGTCGCGCCGGGCCAGTACGGCCCCTTTGGGTCCCTGGGCTTCGACCCGGCGACGTCGACGCTGCCGTTCCGCGTCGACGGCGTGCTGCCGCGGTCGAAGCGGGACCCGCAGCCGCCCTGGGCCGGCGAGATCGACACGCGGACCTTCTACGTGGACCTGCCGGGCAACGCGGGGCCCGTCGCCGAGAGCGCCTTCTTCCACGGGGCGACGAAGACGCTCTTCGTCACCGACGCCGTGAGCTGGATCCCCAAGCAGCCGACGGCGCCGGACATCTTCCGCACGAGTTTCCCCGACAGTTCCGTCGACGACCCGGACTTCTGGCCCCAGTCCGTGCTCCAGGCCGTGTTCCTGTCGCTGCGGAAGGAGGGGAGCGCGTGGCCGGGCTACGACCGCATCACGGACCGAGTGGTCCGCGCGCCGATCCTGGCGGCGTTCGCGGCGGCGTCCCGCGGCCGCGACGATTTTCGAGAGTTTTCGGCTGGGAAAACGATGAAGAATCGTTACCGTCATGCTTGGTAGGTTCGCGGATATCCGCGCGCCGGACGAGACCGCGGCCTGGGTCGACGACTTCACCAAGTCCTGGGCCTTCGACCGGGTGGTGACGGCCCACTTCGCGTCGCCCTTCGCCGCGTCGCCGCGGGACGTGAAGCGGGCGTTCGGGCGGAACCCGAACGGGCTGGACGCGCGCGACTGGGCGCAGCTCGACGACCTCAACAGCGTCATCGTCAAGAACGACCTCGGGGCGCCCGTGAGGGGCGACTACCACTAACCTTAGCCGAAGGGCGCGTACTCGCCGGGGAGCCGCGGCGGCGGCCGCGTCGCGAAGACGGGCTGGTGCATGCGCGGGCTCCAGACGTGGTCCGTCTGGTTCAGGGCCGCGGGCGGGTAGAGGGCGAAGCCCGCGTTGGGCGTCTGGAGGTAGTGCGCCGGCGGCGTCGGGAGGCGCTGGGGCGGCACGGCGTTGCCCTGGTGGAGGAAGTAGGTCGGCTGGCGCAGCTGGGCGCCGTAGGCCGGGAACGGCGGCGGGAACAGCGGCGCGGGCGGGAAGAGGACGCCGGCGACGTGGGGCCCCACGGGGCCCAGGGCCGCGAGGCCCGGCGGCTGGATGGGCTGCGGCGGCCGCTGGGGCGGCTGCGGCGCCGCGCGCGCCGGGCAGCCCGGCGGCGGCGGAAGGGGCCCGAGCGCCGCGGGCGCGTACGCGGTCCGGTCGAAGCCGTCGGCGCCGACGTCGTCGACGTCGATGTCCGCCGGCGGCGCGCCGGCCTCGTGCGTCGCCCACATGGCGCCGTAGCCCCGCTCCACGTTCCGCACCCAGCGCAGCGTGTCCCAGAGCGGCGCGCGACTCGGCCCCGCGCGGCACGCCTCCGCGCGGCGCCGCACCGCCGCGTAGCGCTCCTTGTCCGTGGCCAGCGCCACGGCGAGCTCCTCGTAGCCGCCGAGGTCCGGCGCCACGAGGTCGGCGAGCCCCGCGGCGCCGAGGAGCGACGCCGCGACGCGCGTCGCCATCTTTCCCCCGAGGCACGTGACCATGGGGCACCCGCCCCAGAGGATGTCGCAGCCCGTCGTGTGCGCGTTGCACTGGGGCGTGTCGAGGAACAGGTCCGCCAGCACGCCCCGCTTGATGTGCTCGTCCTTGGCGCTGACGGCCGTGAAGTGGATCCGATCGTCCGAGACGCCGCGCTTCCGCGCCTCCGCGCGGATGTTCGCCTCGCCCGTCGGCGGGAACCGCAGCAGCCACAGGATGGACCCGTCCACGCGCGTCAGGATGCGGCACCACACGTCCAGGATGCCCGGGTCGATCTTGTAGATCTGGTTGAAGTTGCAGAAGACGAACGACGCGCGCTCCGGGACGCCGTAGTCCGCGCGCTTCGGCAGCGCGGCGGCGTCGAAGATGTAGGACGCGGACTGGGCGTGGTCGTTGACGAAGTAGGAGTGGGGCACGCGGCAGACCTTCTCGGAGTAGTGGCGCGCGTGGTCCCGCGGCAGTACGACGGCGTCGGCGACGACGTACTGCACGTAGTCCGCGCCCAGGGTCCCGCAGAAGCCCATGTAGGACACCTGGATCGGCGCCGGCCGCAGGGCGAAGATCTCGTTGCGCGCGCCCTTCGTGTAGCCGTTTAAATTGACGAGGACGTCGATGGCCCGCGCGCGGATCGCCAGCGCGCAGTCGCGCGGCGACGCGGTGGACAAATCCACAAAGCGCTCGACCTCGGCCTCGATCTTCCGCCGCCAGGGGCTCCCGTCGTGGCCGCTGAGGGCGAAGCAGGTCACGTGGAACTTGGACCTGTCGTGCATGCCGAAGACGGACTGCATGAGGTGGGCCAGCGGGTGGTTGCCGAGGTCCGACGAGCAGTAGCCCAGACGGAGCCGACCGTCGCCGGGCGCGGGCGCGTCGCCGTAGCGCGCGCCGTCGGGCGTCTCCCGCAATAGTCGCAACGCGTCCTCGGGCCGCAGGCGGTCGCAGAGCGGCTCCGGCAGCCCCAGGACCGCCGCTTGCAGCGCCGCGCGGTCCGCGTAGCGCTCCGCGATCGCTCGCATGTCGGAGATGGACACGGGATACACCAGCGTGTGGAAGGGCTGCACGGACGGCACGTTGCCGGCCTCCGGCGGGTAGACCTTGCCCCCGAAGCGCCGGTGGCCGGGCTTGAGCGGCGCCGCCGGGTCCACATCCACGACGGCCGGCTTCGCCGCCGCGAGCTGGTCGCGGACGATCCGCGTCAGCCGCTCGAAGTCCGCGGCGCGCGTGCTCCAGTCGCAGACGAACACCAAGGAATGGGCCAGATTGGAGAAGGCGTCGCTGAAGTCGGGCTTGAGCTCCAGGGCCCTCCGGTAGCACGCGACGGCCTCCGCGTGGCGGCCGCCGTCCTTGTACGCGGCCGCCAGGTTCGAGCACGCGTCCGCGAAGTCGGGCCGCAGCTTCAGCGCCTCGCCGTAGCAGCGGATGGCGTCGTCCAGGCGGCCCAGGTCCTTGTAGGCGTTGCCCATGTTGCTGTAGGCGTCCGCGAACTGCGGGTCGACCGCGATGGCCTCGCGGTAGTGCGCCAGCGCGTCGTCGACCGTGCCCCGCTCCTTGAGCACGAGCCCCAGGTTCGAGTGGGCCGCGGCGAAGCGCGGCGCCAGCCCCACGGCCGTCGCGTAGCACTGGATCGCCTCGTTGACGAGGCCCTTGTCCTTCATCGCGTTGCCGAGGTTGTTGTGCGCGTGCGCGTGGTCCGGGCGCAGCAGCAGCGCGCGCCGGTAGCACGCGATGGCCTCCTCTAAATCGCCGTGCTCCCGCAGGGCGTTGCCCAGGTTGTTGCAGGCGTCCGGGAAGTTGGGCTCGATGTCCAGCGCGACTCTGAAGATCCGGATGGCCCGCTCGAGGTCGCCCTTCTCGAAGTAGCACGACGCCAAATTGCCGTGGGCGACGGCGAAGCCCGGGTTGAGCTCGATGGCCCGCGCGTACTCGGCGATGGCCGCGTCGACCTTGCCCTGCTCCTTGAGCACGTTGCCCAGGTTCGAGTGCGCGTCGAAGGCCGACGGCTTCCGGCGGATCGCCTCCCGGTAGTACGCGGCCGCGTCGTCCAAGCGGCCCCGCTCCTTGTAGATGGCCGCGAGGGCGCACCAGGCGGCGGCGAGGTTCGGCGCGCAGGCCAGCGCCTCCGCGTAGCAGTGCTCGGCGACGTCGCGGCGGCCCGCGGCGCGGTGGAGGTGGCCTAAATGGCACCGCGTCTCCGCGAGACTCGGATCGACGAGGAGCGCGGCCTCGTAGGTCTCGAGCGCCTCCCGCGTCTCGCCGAGGTGGAGGTGCGCCGATGCCAAATTGTTGTAGGCGTCCGTGAACCGCGGCTTGAGCGCGATGGCCTTGAGGTAGAGCCGCTTCGCGCCGCGGGGATCGCCGAGCTCCTTGAGCGCGTTCGCTAGATTGGAATAGGACTCGGCGACGCCCGGCGCGCGCTTGATGCACCGCAGCGTGTGGCGCGCGCAGTCCTCCCAGCGGCCCAGCTGGAAGTGGACCGCGCCCAGCAGGAGGAGGCTGTCGATCGCGTCGTCGTCCGCGCAGCCGGCCGCCTGGCAGCACGCCAAGGCGCCCGCGAAGTCGCGGCGGTTGTATTTCTCGCGCGCGAGCGCGAGCGTCGCGGACCGCTCGTCGCTCCCGGGCGTGCTGTTCTCCTTGCCGGGCCGCAGCGGGCTCTCGGAGGCGGCGGGCGACGCGCCGGGTGGTTTGTGTGCGGGACCGGCGGCCGGCGTCCGGTGGCCGGGCGGCGGCGCGTCTTCGGCGCGCGTGGCGGCCGCCGGCGTGGCGGCGCTCGGCGAGGCCATGCCGGTCAACCCCGAAGGAACAGGAATCGGCTTTAGGATGCCTGGACCATAGCCCGGGAGGGCGTCTCCATCGGCCTCCAAAGGCAAGATCTTGTGGCAGTCTTCTTGGCGAGCGGCGGGTCGCGACGACATGTGGGCGCCGGCAGGACTCAGCGATGTTGATTGGGAGCTGATACGAGACTACGCAGATACCGGGGACTATTGGCAGCTGATGCACAACTACGCCAAAACCGGGGACACAGCTCGCCTACGACGTGCGCTAGAAGAGGGTGCAGACCCGAACCGCATAGTGCCATCAGTTAGCAACTACTCCGCACTGCACATGGCGGCGATGAACTCGCACCCCGAGGCTGTCATCGCTCTCCTGGAAGCTGGCGCGAATGTCGACATTCGGAACGGTCATAACGGCGGCACCCCTCTGGCGTTGGCAGTCCTTCACGTTGCTCCGGACAGAATCCTGGCGTTAGGCGATCAGGCACTCGACCGGCGCAAATGCGCGACGTTCGACGCTCTCATCGCAGGCGGTGCCGACGTGGACGCAGCGGGTGGCGTTCTCGCAATTCAAAGGATTATTGAAAGCGCGTGTATATACTCGCGACCTATCATTCTCGCGCTTTTCCGCGCAGGAGCCACGGTGGCCGTCACAGAACTCAATCGCCCGGACGAAGATTCGTTGTTTATCCCGATTGGATACTCGCAGTATGTGTTGTCCGCCTGGGACCTAGTGGACGCCATCAAGAAGGCCGGCGCTTTCGACGAGTACGCGCGTCGGCAGCTGAACGTCCACATCTCCATGCTCACCAAATGCTTCGGAGCCGCGCTTCCCGTCGATGCGTGGTCGCACGTCGCTGGATTCTACGCCCCTCGCGGCGGCTACTAGCTAACTCGAGTTTGATCGGTACCGTGGTTACGCCGCCCCTCGGCGCGGGGACGCGTCGGCCGGCCGCGGCTCCCGTGGCGTGGGAGTCGCGGCGGCCGCTGCGTCCGCGCGGTCGGCGGTCCGGCGGGCCTCGGCGGCCGTTTTGGTCGCGCGCCGTGTCCTCCGGGGCGGCAAAGCGCCCCGGGCTCGCGGCGCCCGAGAGTTTCGGGGGCGGGGGATGGTGCGGCGGCGGCGCGCGACTGGCGGTCTATGCGCGGCCGGCGGCGGCGGTCGCTACGAGTCGCCGGAGACGAGGGAGCCGAGCGCGGCCTCGAGGCCGAGCGCGTCGTCGTCGCCTTCCCCGTCGTCGCCGTCGTCGGCCGGCTGCGCTCCAAACCCGGCGCCGAAGGCCGCGGCCGGCTTGCCGAAGCCGAAGGGCCCGGCGCCGCCCCAGCCGGCGCCGTCGGCGTCGCCGGCGTCGTCGGCCCGGAAGGCGCCGGGCACGAACTCGGGCGCGCCGAGGCCCAGGCCGCCGCCGCCGCCGAGGTCGAGGTCGCCGGGCGCGCCGCGCGCCAAACCCCGGCCGCGCGCGGGACTGTCGTCGAGCGCGGAGAGCGCGTCCGCGAGCTCGGACTGGCGGCTCATCTCCATGGCCATGCGCAGCGAGTCGTCGACGGAGTGGGACGGCGTCGCCGCGCCCCAGCCGCCGCCGGCGCCGAGGCCGTCGACGAGGCCCGCGACGGACGGCAGGTTCGACGCGGAGCCGGAGTTCGACGCGCCGCCGAGGCCCCCCGGCGCCGGCGGCGGCGACCCGTAGCCGCCGCGGCTCCCCGGCGGCGGCGGGCTCCGCGACCGGCCGTCGCGGAAGCCCGGCGCGGCCGCGGCCGCGGCCGCGCCGCCGGGCGCGGCCGACGGCGCGGCCGCGCCGCCGCCGAGGACGCCCGCGTAGCCCGACGACGACGACGACCCCTGGGGCGCCGCGCCGGGCCG